TCTGAATTCATGTTTTGGAAGATTGATTTTTGCTTTGTTATTATGAAGGCTTATCCTGATATTCTGTTGCTGCAGACCAATACAGTGACAACTTGGTTGGAGAAGATAGAAGGAAAGATAGGTAATTTTGTATTCTGACATTCAGCACCAGCAGATTGGATAAGTAAAGCCTTTTGATACCTTTATATTCCTGCCGATGAAATCTTGAAGTGATTGTTTGTAGGTTGGTAGTGCCATCACATGGGCAGGAATCAGTTTTGTTAAAAAGGCCTCCCTCATCCCATTCTTCATCATCACATGAAGGATTGCTCGAGCGTATGTCTGACGCAGCTAGCAGGACAGCAAGTTCTTATAGTGGGGTCGAAGGTATATTATCTCAAGGGCTTCAGTGTCTTTTTGGGCATTATGTATTGAAAATGAGACTCATTCTGTATACAAATATCATCAGGAGGTGTGAGACGGGAATCAGGAGCAGCAGGAAACAAAGGGTTGGCGTCAGAACCGTCATTCAGTGAGATGTTGAAGAAGAGTAATAACATGAAGAAGGTGGCGGTAGAGTCATCTGATACAACCGAAGGAAGCAAAGGTGGCGGTGGGAAGAAGAAAGGGAAGAAAGGGAGACAGATAGATCCTGCTCTTCTCGGTTTTAAAGTCACTAGCAGCCGCATTCTAATGGGAGAGATCCACCGCGCTGATGATTTCTAACATTTCGTTATTTTGTACAAAATCTTTACTTGTAAAGATTAGCTCCTCATACTTAGGTCGTATAGTTCTTTTCCAAACACATTTCTTCCATCACATTAGAACACAGGGAATAATAAAAGTTCTTTTAGTTCAAAAAATGTTTGGTTCATGCAGTGGTTCTTATTCATTGTGCCTATCTGAGCAGTGTGATAACCAGCGGCAACGTAATCAATTCGAAATCTAGAAGCTCAAGCCTCGAAGAAATGGCTTTCCACTTAACCATTCAACTTAAGAAAGTAAAACGTCATCCATCTCAGAACAGTTTTCTTTTGGTTGTTCAGGTCTAGAAGTAGTCGAGAGTGGAGACTCACAACAAGCAGCTCTGTTATTTGCTCTTGCCACTTTCTCCATTATATACATCTTGCTAAGTCTCAAAATCAAAAAGGTAGATTTATTCTCTCACTTCTTTTTTGTTTTCTCTCTTGTTTAATATTTTTTATTACAAAATTTCTCACTTTGACATAATTTTAGAATCTATAAAATTTTGGAAGTTTCTAAAGAACACTCGTATACCTCTTAACACTTGGAATCATATATCCTTCTGTATAGATATACTTGGTCTTTGACGCTTTTCATCACTCTTATTTACACAAGATTAGCAACACACATCAAATACAGGAATCATTCACAAAGTTGAGAAATTGGGGACATTTTGGCCAAACACACAAACTCACAGCTCCAAAACGTCCAGAAGAATGATGTTAAAAGAGGAGATCAGAGTTCTATGAGAACGCTGGTCAATTGAGAAGCAGATGGTTTAATCTGATCACACACTCTCCACTTGGACCCTTTTTCTTTATCATTAAGGTCATACATTAAGGTCTCATGTCCACAAACCCGTGAAAACAGCAAAAGCTTATCATTCCATACTCCTAGTCTCACCCAGAAACCTCCCTCCCTCGGAGGCACAAACACCGAGCTCCATGAATTCTCCTCTGGATCAAATACTCCCAGACATCCCGGCATGTTCCTGTCCATGAAATACACTTTGTTCCTTACAACAGTGTAGGAATAAACCGACACTGGTTGCTCCGAGTTTAGCTTTTGCCATGTCTGCGTTTTGGGGTCATATATGTCGATGAACCTCGATCCATTGCCTGGAAAGATCATAAAACATAGTTTAACCAATGTTCGCCGGAATCTAGATATATCCATTGTCTCCTACCTACAGCGTAGAGTTTGGAACGGAAGGAGAATGCAAAGCCACGCCAGACCGGGCGGTTTGGACAATCCATAAGGCTCCATTGATTAGTTTTTGGGTTGTACACTTCCGCGTTGGAAAGGCTATAAGCATCTGTTGAATAGCCTCGGATGACATACAAAAGGCCATTCACTTCAGCAAATGCAAAGTTGTAACGTGGTATGTTCATGTCCGCTAGTTTTTTCCAGCTGCAAAAGAATTCCTACACGATATTAGAATAAAACCATACCGGACCAACCTACTATCTAGTACCATTTTCAGTTTAAGATGAAGCATTAAGAATTTTTTGTTGCAAGTAAGAATGTCATTTCTTTGTCTAACAATCATGAAGAAATTTGCAATTATAAAGAGAATCATGTCACATTTGATCAGATTGTGTGGGAATTAAAGAAAGGTTGGTTGAGATTGGAGACCTGTTAGCAGCAGGATCGAACTCGTAAACATCGGCAGAAGCAGAGACTGTGGTGCTATTGATCCCAGAGCCGTCAACCTCCGTATATCCTCCAATCAACACAATCTTCCCGCCATCAAGCACTGCAACGCCGAAACCTCGCTTCAAGGGCCCAGGGACAGGAGGGATCTGGCCTAACTTGTTCCCTGAGGCATCAAAAACTTCCCAGTACACATCTCTTCCACACTCACTTTCCATCAGAACACAAAGGAATTCCTCCACCATACCGGTCAACTTTCGAAAGGCTGCAAAATGCTTGCTCTTGAGGAATGACCTCCATCGCCGGCACACCTGAGAAGTGATCTGAAAGCTAGACCGGGGGATTTTCGAGAGACAGAGCTCTGCTGCATCGTCGGTCAAACCAGGTATGATCGGATATGATGATGACTCCACTACCATCTTCACAATTTTACTTACTCCTCCCCTTAATCTTCACTCCATCATTTAATAATGTGCAAATATTGTTAAAAAAATGGTTTGAGTGATCATTTGGATAACAGACAAAAGATAGAAAAACATTGACCAAGTGTTTTCTGAATTTAAAATCAGGATCTTTTCAAACTAAACATATACAAACAACTGCTTACCTTTTCAACGATAGAGACTTTATATTCAACTGATAAATTGTTATATGTTATCAAAATTTTACTTACTCCTCCCATTCAAAAGGATTGTGTATCAGACAATTCACACAGTTACCATCGTAAGCTTTGTGATAAAGAAGCCGCCACATCCATGTTAGACAAAATCCAGAGTCAAGTAGAGCGAGCTAATCAACCTCGACAATTTTTGCGCACTTTACTTGTATACGTGCTCTCTTCTTGTTTCTCTTCAAACTTGAATGACTATCTCGATTCCACCTTTTCCGCTTTGCTAACACTCTAGTCTTGTCACTTGCAGAATATGACTTGATCCTAACAGCTCGAAATTCCTCTGCGGTATCCGGCCTCATAAGAAGCACTTGTGGCGGTTGGTTGGCTCCGCAGATACGCCCAAAATAGTAGAGAGGGTCAACATAAGATGATGATGAAACAACAATTCCTTTCATGCTCTTTGGCTTCACAAGTTTTATGAACTCTCCAATCTCCTCATAGCATGAATGATCAGAGTAGTGCACCGAGTACATATAGTCATTGAACTTATGCACCGCAGCCGCTTGTAATTCTTTCTGAGCAGAAATGGTTTCATTCTTCATACTTGCAGTAAGAAAAGAACCAGAGAGCTTGCCAACTCCTTTGAAAGGCCTTTTCACCCATGGAAGACCGGAAGGCATGATACCAATAGTTGGGCACATGGTATTCAGCCCCTCGAGAGTCTGAATGCTGAAACTATAACGAGGGACAGCACGCACTCTTGTAAGAGATGTATCAGTAGTGAAAATGTCTTGAAACCCAAGGAGATGCATTGTACGAAGACGCTCAGGCCAAACCCAAATCTAAATGATAAACAAGAAACGAAATTCAAGTGGTTGATTCAAAAACGTAGGAAGATAAAAGAAAGCAGATGATTCCTATAAGGAACCTTGATATTGAGAATACGAGAAACATGAACAAGCAAGTCTTCTTTCCCCAAAGAGTCAACTGCTATGATGATATCATGTGAAGGATGGGTGGCGATTATATCAGCAACCTGCAACCAAATATAGAACTATGAAGAGAAACATGATTCAGGATTTAAGGTTTAAGGTTCAAAGATAAGGGTTTTAGTGGAACCAGATTCGCAGCGACTTGACGAGAAGGGAAGCTGTAAATTGGATTGCAGTAAGTGTTATCCAAGTAGAGAATATCAACTGGTGATTCGTTAATAGCATCAAGGAGAGTGGTTCTAGCTTCATCTGCTGCATCAGCATCCCAGCGGAAGTCTCCGGTGTAGAGAAAACATCCGAAATCACCACGGAACAAAAACATCACGGAACCTTACCAGATTGTACAATCAAATTCAAATGTCACCGAGAAAGCAAAGCCTTATTAATAGAGGTAGATTACAGACTTTTCCAGTATCATACCAGGACAGTGGTGAGCATCGATGGCCATGACATGGAGACGGACGGTGGAGCCGGAGGAAGGGGAACGGAGGGAGAGAGATGACCAGGAAGAGAGAGGGACGACGCGAAGCAATGAGAGGTCGAATCCTGGGAATCGGGAGGGAAAGAGAGAGGCGGTGGTGCGGGAACAGTAGAGAGGACCTTGAGACCAGTCGCCGGAGAGGCCACGCGTGTGATCAGAGTGCATATGAGTCAAGAAGTAGGCTTGACTCCCATCTCTCCATCGATCCACTGATATCAGACCACTCTCCATTTCTGATTCCCAGAAAACTAAAATTGCAGTTACTTAGCGATGAACGACTGATGATGGTTCCCTACTTCCTTCAATCATTCTTTGTACTCATTCGTGAATGGGCCAATTTGAATTTTAGGTTTTACAAAATTCTCATGTCCCACCATTTTCAGAACTTTGTTATCAATATATTGTTACTCAATAATTACCAAACTTTCAATTTGCTTAATGATTTTGAGTTAGTTAATCAATCATAACCAAGACTAAAAAAAAGAGGGGAACGTCTTTAAACAATCCAGCAACCATAATCATCATTCTTAAAAATTGGGTCTTGGTCTTATAGAAAGCAGAAACTAACAAAATGTAATGTATTAAGGGTAACACAAGTGAGAGCACAAAAAGACTTGTTTATATAAAGCTCAAGATGACGCTCCTTTCTTTGACTTTGCTGCCAACTGTGTCTCCGGCTGCAAAAACCCAACAATAATTATATGAGATCAGTGCTTAAGATTAAAGTCAGAATCTGTAACGATTCAAAAAGATCAATCAATTACCTCTTTCTTCACAGGCTCTTCCTTCTCTGACAAGATCAACTCAATGTGGCATGGGTTTGACATGTAAGCTGCAAAAAATAGAATTATATCAAGAATAAGTAAACTGTGAATGAAGAAAGAGAAGAATACAACTGAGAAAACATACGATTGATTCTTCCATGAGCCCTGTATGTCCTTCGCCTCTGTTTTGCTGCTTGGTTCACTTGGATGTGAGAAATGAATAGGGCATCAACATCCAAACCTTTGACCTATATTAAGCATAAGTTCATAAACAAATTAGTACCTGAGAGAAAATAACAATGATAATATAAACCAAAGAATCAAAAACACACCTCGGCATTGCTCTCAGCATTCTTGAGAAGATCAAGGACGAATTGAGCAGATTTAGCAGGCCAACGACCTTGACCATTTGAATGCCTGTTCTTTGCCTGAGCAGTACGACCAACACCACGACAGAAACGGGTAAAGGGGATAGCTTGCTTGTGAGCTATGACATCTTCCAAGTACCTTTTGGCCTTGTTCAATTGTAGCTTCCTTATGGCGTGCGCTGTTTCCCTAGTGTTCTGTTAGACAAAGCAAATTCAAAAAAAAAAAACTATTAGATTCACAAAATCAACCAAAAAACTGTGGTAGACTTCACTGATTGTTTGCTTTTTCCCTAACTATTGGTCTGTTTTTAAAACAAAACGACAACATTAAGCATCTTAAACATATAAAAATGTAAGCTATGACAAAAACCAAACCATCCGCTACAATCATGTCTAAGAAAGAAAACCAAATATGAGAAATTACTCACTACTTTAAGAATGAATCTGATAGACTTATTTCAGCTAGTTTAAGCAGACGAAAAAATAAAACTAAATGATGAAAATCTTGCCTATATTACAATACACAAAAGGATAACAAGCTAAAAGCTATAATGTACCATCATGTACTGAACCATATTGCTATTAGCATAAAACATTGGCTCACCCATTCACGATGACCAATTCGATTTTCCTGACATTTACGTGAGGTCTGTTATTACACAACAGAACCCTGCTTTTTGTTAATCAGGTTTGTTCTAACTACGAGCTTAATCCCCCAATAAACCTAATCTAATACATTTCCTAGATCCGAAACTAGTACAAGACATTTACCTTGAAATGGACCCTAAGATCGGATCCCCTTGCCTTGCAAGCTGCAAACGCAAACCAATAGGAACCATTTTAATCAATAACCATTGTATTGCTTCAGAAACCCAGTAAAAAGTGAAGCTGGAAGTAAAAAAAAAAACAAAGACCAAGAAAGAGTTCTCACATTTGGTGGAGTTATCGGGCTCCTGGGAGTACTTCACCTGAAGAAAGAAAAACAATAACAACGCGTAAGAACATATACGTATGAGCAGAAGACAGGAGAGAAAACTTGGTAACAAGTGTAGCAAAGCGCATTTACCATGGCGACGACAAGAACAGAGGACGGAGACACTGGAGTTCTCTTTTTATTTGGAGATCCCTTTTTATATAGTGAAACATGAAACCCTAATCGGCGAATACATTAGGGGAGACTATGGTTTTACCAAAGTGCAATTAATTTAATGGGCCTTTTGGGCTACTTCTTTTACTTTACAAATTACAAGTGCTGAGCAAGTGAAGGCCCATAAGAAAGTCCACGACAGGAAAGCCGTAGGCTGTAAAAGCCCAATGATGTTGTTGTAATTTGTGAACACCGACGACTTTGTAAGGCTAAAACCCTTGAAGCTTGTTTGAGATATCGAGAGAGGTCTTCGACGTTTTCGCAGTAACCGAACCACCGAACCCTAGATTTTCTTTCCCTTGAATCGTGACGATGGAGTTCTCTGCCGCCGACTTTGAAAGGCTTCTCATGTTCGAACATTCTCGCAAAGCTTCTGAGGCTCAGTACATTAACGATCCTCTTGATTCCGATGTTTGTACTTAGTCTCCACTCTCTTCACAAATCACCTAATTGCTTTATTTTTTTTCGTTCTTGCTTATTGTTTTCCTTTTTGGTTGATTTGGATGACATGATCGGCCATTGGATGTTTACAATTGTTAAGTCTGTGTTGTTGAGATTGATTACTTGATTGTCTAATCAATGTGTATAGTTTGGGTCTTGAATTTGATAGAACTACTAGCATTTGTGCTACGAGATTAATAAATGTTTTTCTTAGTTAACATTTGCCGATTCCTTTTTGATTTGTCATTTACATGAAGATATGAAGAATACCTTTGTGGTTATTTTATGTTCTGCAGAATCTGCTGAAATGGGGAGGAGCATTGCTTGAACTTTCTCAGTTCCAGAGCATTCCTGATGCAAAACTTATGTTAAATGGTACGAGTTCTTAAAGTCTTAAATAATCGTTGCTAATTATGTACTCATGACTTTGTCTTTGCTCTAAGCATATCAACATATTTGATCATGTAGATGCTATATCCAAGCTGGAAGAGGCGTTGACATTAAATCCAGGGAAGCATCAGGCTCTTTGGTTTCTTGGGAACGCCCACACTTCCTATGCATTTCTTGTTCCAGATGTTGATGAAGCAAAATTGCACTTAGATAAAGCCACTGAATATTACCAAAGAGCGGAAAATGAGGTACATCTTTAGATTTTTTTGCTTTTTTAATTTGTTAATTATATGTTTTATGAGCTTAGTGAGACTTAACTTCTTATTTTTTTTCTCTTTGTTTCAAGGATCCAGGCAATGAGATATATCTTAAGGCCTTGGAAGTCGCAGCAAAGGTATTACAGTATTTCCATTTTCCATTTTCAGAGTCAAATCTTTGTGTACGCAAATTATTACCTTAATCCTGGAGAGAATTACTGCTACAATAAAAACAAGGAAAGAACCGTTTTGACATTTTATTCCATCTTCTGTAGTTTTTTATATATTAGAGCTCATGTTTTTGTCTGTGTATGTGAATAGGCCCCGGAACTGCATATGGAGTTTACCAAAGGAATGGCACAACAAGCCCTAGTTGGTGGAGGGGGTCCTTCACCTTCATCGAATGTTAGTGTAAGTTATCAAGTGTTTTGTTGGTTAGTGTGCTGTCTACTATTTGGAAAAGTGTCATCTTTCTTTCACACAGTTATTCTTTAGTACCAAGTTCATTAGAACATAAGCAGAGAGTCTCATATGTGGATTATACAAAAGGTTACTCAGAGAAATTGCTTGCTTTTGCAGAGTGGCAAGAAGAAGAAGAAGAACAATGACTTCACTTATGATGTATGTGGTTGGATAATCCTCGCTTTTGGGATTGTTGCTTGGGTTGGTATGGCAAAATCCAGTGGCCCTCCACCTCCTGCTAGATAAAGCCTTAAGCCAGATTAGTGATGGGCATTCCATAAGAATTAATGCGCACACGCACACACAAACTCCTAGTAACGACTCCCAAACAGAGATGTACTAAGTTGAAGAGCAACCGTTTGTGGCTATGGTACCAACAAATTGATTTGATTACTTTATTAGTAGGATGTTTTGTCTCTTCATGTTTCGTTCTTTTTATCTTTGGATTAAGATAAATTCTGTTACCATTATCTTAGGCTCTTAGCTATGCTGTGATGGGTTTTGTTTGCTGGCACCATATCTATGAGTTTATTATTCACAGAAATACTACTTTTAACTTCCTGTAAGAATCACACTACGGTAGGGAAAATATTCCCGTTGCAATTCTGTGTTATCTACTATTTTTGTAACATACTCGTAAATAAACTCCGGTTTAGATACACTTTCATAAAACACACCTTACAATTATTCCATACATCTAACACTTCAATATGATATGATACCTATATTAGTCAGTTTACTCGTCAACTTCAGGGATCTGTAACCTTCATCGATCACTTTAAACAAACTTTAGGGTTGGTCCTGATTAAAAATGTTTTCCTCAGCTCTATCATCATCATCTATGATTCCCAAAGGCCAAAACATTGGCTGGTAAAAGACAGTAACGACCCCAAAGCGGATGGCTTACACAAGACAAAAACCTAAGGGCATAAGTGCCCTTTATACCTTATCCCTCGCCATTCGCCCCAACGCGAAGAAAAATTAATAAATAACGAAACGCAGCGTTAAGTCTTTTCGACTCATCATCTCCAAAATAGACAGGTCGAAAGAAATGGCTTGCAAAACGATACTGCGTTCCGTTTTCGTATCGGAATCACGGCGTACTTCCGGCGCCAGTAGATGCTTCTTTCTCCCTCCTTCTCCAGCATCAGTTCCAGTCCATGGTTTGTTCCCGGCGCCAAAGAGTCTATGTTTCAGTGGTTTCGCGTCTGCTCCCGAGCGGTCCACTCGGCTTAATTGCAGCCATAACGATCAATCTGATCAAGGTCCACCTCAAGAAGCTGTTCTCAAGGCGATTTCAGGTAAGCGCCTACGTTAATTTCTTCATTTTTAGTTTTTTTGGTTCTTTTGCCCGAAATGAATTTGATAATCGGATTTCGATATGTTTGCTTCTATGATGAAAGATGATTCGGGTTTGTTGATTCGATTGACGTACTAGCGTTGGGTTTGATATACTGGCTGCTATTTTGCTCTGTTATTCTAGATTCAGAAACTCTTCTGTTTTGTCGATTTAACTAATCATACACTTGTAATTTTGATATTCGATTATCTTGGGTTAACTATATCAAGCTTGAATGGTGAAGGAAACAGATGATGTTAAGTGACGAGTACTAGTTTACTGATTGATACTTTTGTTTCCCCTGTTTCTGGTGATGGGATGCAGAAGTGTCAAAGACTGATGGGAGGGTTGGAAAAACTACTAATATGATTATTGGAGGCACTGTGGCTGATGATTCTGCTAAAGACTGGCTCGAACTTGACCAAAAGGTATCCCATGCAGCAATCTTATTCGTGTTTGATCCGTTGCTAGTAGTGTTACTGGTTTTTATGAAAGGCCCTGTACATTTTTTAAACAAGGAGGTGGGTATTTGTTGACTCAAGGCTGGCGTTTTACTTGCCAGGTCAATACATACCCAACAGAGAGAGGTTTTACTGCAATTGGGACTGGTGGCGATGACTTTGTGCATGCTATGGTTGTTGCTGTTGAATCTGTTATTGAACGTGAAATTCCAGAGGTAAGTTGTTTTCTCTTACATAGTATCCAGCTTGTTTTGGTTAATAAATTTTACATTTGATTGTTATGAGATATGTAATATTGAAGCTCCTAATATTCAATCTTGATATGGAAACCTGTTAGCTCAAATAGTATCATTATTTTCCTATATAGAGTCATGGTGGCAGTAGGTACATAGTAAGCCCTTATAAAACGGCATCAGATTTCTTACTGTTACATCAATCTTTTGTATTGTGATCATTTCAAATAGCCTGTTGCGTATAGGATTTTTTATTCTTTTCAAGTCAGTTCAGTAATTGGTTTAGTCACTCTGATATGCGTAGTTGCTGGTTAGGGAATCCAAACTTTGTAGTTATTAGAAAAAATATATTATTTGTACTGTGAACTTTTATATTATTACGATTTGCTTCAATCAGTGTTCTATTGGCTGGCACAAAAATCTCTCCTAGTGATCGTCTTGATAATTGCAAATATAAAATGTATACAAGTGAAAACTATATGCACCGTACTTTGCTACGCCTACATTTGGTCTCTGCTTAGTCTTGTACAGTATAGCTGCTAAATATTAATTCCGACATATTGTTGTGTTGTGATGTGAACTATTGTTTTATCAAAGAATCAGATAAGAGTATTTTTTTATGTAACGTCTTACAACTGTTATTTGAATACCAACAACACGGAAATCCTACTAATGCTGCAAATCTGTTTTGCCCACAACAAAGGATTGTGTGAAGCAGACGTTATCAAGCAAAGGCAAATATGTATCGGTGAATATTGGCCCTATCCGAGTTGTCTCTAGCGAACAGGTTTTTCCCTTTGCCTTCTCTCCCTCCCTCTCTCTCTCACGCTCATACATTCACATATGAAAAGCCATATGGGTATGTTTGCAAAAGAAGCATAGAGAATCAAGCCTTATTGACACAGAAGATGAAACAAAGTTAGGAGTTGAAGAATGATGTGATGAGAACTTATGTTGTTTGGTTTGACAGGTTCAAGCTGTGTATAATGCAATGAGGAGAGACGAAAGAATGAAATACTTCTTGTAGGTTTGAAGTGTGTAGAATCACGGGTCTTCCCTCTTCTCTCTTCTCCATTGCTACTATGTAAATTATGCAGTGTAAGGCCATCATTAATTATTATTTTTGCTTATCTACACCAACTACGTCATCCTTTATTTGTTAGACAGTTCTTAGAAAATGTCTTATGCATCGGGGAGAATTAGTCGATTATATTTAAAATGGCTAAGATGCAATTATGCAAAATAAAGATAAAGCTTAGAAAAATAATATTTGTTTAAGGTGGGAGATATCTTTTGTATCTCTCCAAAATAGAGTTGGAGTTGGTTCTAAGATTAATGCCCAGAGAGGTGTGGCTTCTTCTACAAGTGAGGGGCCATAGTCCAGAAGAAAAAAAAAAAAGATGAACCCTCGGGCTAATAATTATAATCTTATCTTGTTTGGATACAACAACATACAACTCAGTATATTATAATCTAATATGTTATTATTGGTTACATATTTATTTTGGTCGAATATTATTGGTTTACATGTAATTTTTGAAGTCCTAATATCTCTACTGTAACGAAGCATATTGAGGTTTATGATTGGGTAGGTATCTACAGAGAGTCATATTAAGGTGATCCTTAGAGTGTATCTCATAATGATGAAGTTTGTTATGAACTGAGTTATTTACTGTTTATGTTACTATGTCTCAGTCTCAGCGTCCTGGTGGGAGGGTGTGTAGTAGAGCTACTAATTAGTCTAATTATGGTATTCATTAAAATACAAAGATGGGGTTATTGGGTAAGGAGAAGAAAAAGTGGAAGGTGAGGGGGTTACTTTGAATCTTTTAATCTTAAAATTAGGTTAAGTGGCACTGTTGGCCAACTAAAAGCAACCCCAAATATACTCAATAATGACACTCATAATCTCTCTCTGTCTATCTATTCCTTTTATTGGGTTAGGAATTACAAAATTCTTCAAAGAATTAATGATACTAACTTGCTTACAAAGTAATAAGCATACACGAGATTTGCAATATAAGCCCTACCAAAATCCCCACTTTGCCATCATTTCATTCACTCACACACGCATAAATATAGCATTACATATTAATACCATAAACATACATATATTGAACATACATTTTCGAGGGAAGGAGATGAAAGATCGGATGGAGCGGTTTGTGATATTGCCGTTTTCGTTGGGGTGTTCAACGCAATCCAGCGTCGCCGTGGTCACCACTTCCACTAGTCACCAACACAAGAAACCAAACCTACTCATTAAAAGTACCTACTTCTCTCACCCCACTTACGTCGTCCTTTGCTTATCATCCTCCTCTTTTTCTTCTGAATATTGTGTTTTTATTTTTCGAAGGAAGAGAAGAAAGTGATGAAATTGGCCGACTTAATAAAGAATACACAGAGATGGACAACATCACCAACAACAACAACATTGCTAATACCTCAGATGGTATTAACAAAATGATTCGAAGATTCAAAAGTTTCAGTCACTTTATCTCTCTTTCTCTTTTGTTTCTAAATGATCTTTTATTATTCTTGTTGGTTCTACAAGGAAGAGTACTAGAAACTAATGAAAATGGCTCATTCAAAAAAGAATACACAAAGATGGACAACGGTGCAAATATCTCAGATGGCATCTACAGAATTATCCGGAGCTTGAAAAGCTTCTCTCACTTTTTCATTCGTACGTCCCTTATTTTTATTCTATTCTCTTTTCTTACTTTCTTTTTTCTTGTCATTTTCTTACTGGGAGCACAACATTTCCTAGTAAGTGATATCTTCTATACTAATCTGTTTCTTGGGTTCATCTTAATGTTCCTCCCAATTAATACGAGGACGATTAACTTCTTTCTTCATGTTTCCAATTTTTACCTTTGCTTTGACAGAAACTAATAATTACCTCAAACTTTATATGACTTTTATGTGTTAGCATGGTAATTTACATTTTGGGTTACCGTAATCATATCTATGAAACTGTAGCTAAAGGGTAGTGAAAATTTGTGGTTTTAGTCTAAGAAAGTGTTAGGAACACTTGTTATTTAGGTTTTGTAACCATATATCCGTAATGATTTACATTTTATGCAATTGATCATCACCACAGCTATAAAACATATTATAATCAATAGTAATGCATGTTTTTGGAAAAAGAAAAAAAAAAGAACAAATGGTTCATACGTACATTCTCCATAATTTAAACATGGGGAGAATTAAAGAGTGATAGATAGATTCATCATTAATGTAATGTACTGATGAGTGATGATGGCACTATGATCAGGTTACGAAGAAGAGACGAAAGAGAGAGATGCGGAGATGGAGATAGGGTTTCCGACGGACGTAAAGCACTTGAGCCACATCGGAGTAGATGGAACCATGACCACTTTTGACAACTCCTCCTCCTCCTCTCCTTTTCCTTTCGCCGGTTTCCATCTCACGTCCGCCGTCTGATCTTTTTTTTTTTGGCATCTTTTGACTAATAAATCAATGACATATAATTTTCGTACACAAACATATCATTCAAATAGTTTCGTAGTTGTAAGATCTTCGTATTCGCGGTTGCAAGTAAATAATAGACCTCAAACTCTAAAATCCACTAATTAAAATGACTCCATCAATCGTCTCACATTCCCGATAAATCTTGATAACTTTTTTTGTTCCCCATCAGTCATCATCATTTCATTCATGCAATTTATAATTTTTTTTCATTTACCGGTAAAATTTACAAAAATATTAGACAAATTCTTCAGCTGATGCTCTTATTAAATCATTCTTAGATTTTTTTTTTTTTTTTAACATTCTTGTCCATGTTCTCGATTCATTACAAAAAAAAAAAAACCGTTTGATTAATTGTCAAAAAATTATGTTAATTTGGAAACAAAATTAATATTGGTGCCAAAACAAAAGCAAAATTAATTTGCAGTTATGTGTGTCATGGAAAAATATATACTATTAAAAGCAAAAAAGGTGACCGCACTAATCTAAAAGAAGAAATGAAAACAGTAACAAAGAGGAGGAAATAAGGAACAAAAATTATAAAAAAAAGAAATGGGGGAGGATGAAATTAATCCACGGCAGCTCATCTGATTCACCTGAGGCGGCGATTATGGTGTTGTCTCACTCTCCCTCTCCCTCTTCTTAGTCAATCAGCACTTTCTTCTCCGATCGCCGACCTCCGGGGAGCTTTCTTCGGCGGTCTCTTCTCTCTTTTCTACCCGAGGTTTCTCTTCTTCTTCTTCTTCTTCTTCTCTCCCCCATATTCTAAGCATTACTTACTCTCCTGAGATTTGCTCTTTTAATTCGTTATTAAAATTTAGCTTATTTTAGAAAGAGATCGATTACGTTTGTTGAATCAATGAAACTGTATCATTTTGTCTAGGTATAGATAATTCTGTTTTACAATGGCGGAATCGTTTTCTCACTGTTTTATTTTTATTTTTGCTGTATTATCATTTGTTTGTCTTCTTCTTCTTCTTAGTTTTGTTTGGTTTTCTCCGTTCATGTTGCTTCTTAGATGTTCTTACTATGCGAATGGGATTGTAGCATCGATAACTTAATTATTTTGATGAATTTATTGGTTGAGGGACCATTTTGCTTTCATTGGAAAACCTTAGCTGAGGGGACCGTGATTGGGATCGAAACCTAACTTGCTGTCTCATTTTGTTAGCTCAATCTTTATTGCTAGAGATAGAGGTTCCCTTCATTTGCTTTGCTTAGCATTTGGTGTCTTTTTCTTTGACATTATACTACTTTATATTCAATGTGTAAGTTTCTAGACCACAATAGTAAGCTTTTAAGCCTTTGGGTTTTTGAGTAGGTTAGTTATGAACTTTCTGCAAGTACATAGGAGGAATGGGGTAGGGAACGGGTTTTTGCAGTAATGATGGCTATTGTGTTTTAATGACTTGTTAACGTCGTGTTTCTTCACAAGTTGTTTGATATTCTGAGCTATCTGATTGGAGGAGTGTGGGTCCTCTTGAATAAATGCCACTTAGTTTTTGTGTGATGGAGAGCATACGAGGGAGCTAAGAAAAGGCACACCCTTTCTTTTCCCCTTTTTGCTGGTCTGGGTGCAACATAGAAAGGTTTCTCTTGCTGAGGTTTATGATTAACGGGTGAGTGAGTATTACACGCTGATGGGCACTGAGTGGTGCTTGCAATTCTCTGGTTTCTTTTCTCTCTTACCTTATTCTAGTTAAGGGTATTTGTTTGGCTGGCTAGAGTTATTTATAGGATTCCCTAGTCTTCTCTTATGTGATTTTGGATTTCATTTACTGCCCCTAGCTCTGCAAACTTTTCTTTATTTCAGTTCTTGTTGCTCTGGCTTTTGGTGCTAGGTCTATGAAATCAACCCACATCTTGAATGGACTGCAACATGGTATCTTCGTCCCAGTGGGACTGGGAGAATTTGATCATGTCCAATCCCTCAAAGACTGAAAATGAAAAAAAGCTGCAATCTACGGAGTGGGAATTCGAGAAAGGTGAAGGCATTGAATCTATAATTCCAGATTTCTTAGGCTTTGAGAGAGTCAGTAGTGGCTCTGCCACTAGTTTCTGGCACACTGCTGTATCAAAAAGCTCACAGTCGACATCTATCAACTCATCATCTCCCGAGGTCAAACAATGCAAGCTTGCATCACAAAGTTCCCCTGGAGATTCTTGCAGCATCATAGATTTTTCCCAGGTGAAGGCATCCACTGCTCTCGAGGTATCTGTTGCCTCAGCTGAATCAGATCTTTGTTTAAAACTAGGAAAGCGGACATACTCTGAAGAATTATGGGGTAGAAACAATAATGACATTTCAGCGGTTTCCATGAAGTTGTTGACTCCATCTGTTGTTGCTCGGAAGAAATCCAAATCGTGTGGTCAGAGCATGCAAGTCCCCCGTTGCCAAATTGATGGTTGTGACCTGGATCTCTCAACTGCTAAGGATTATCATCGTAAGCATAGAGTCTGCGAAAAGCATTCAAAGTGCCCAAAAGTTACCGTGAGTGGCCTAGAACGTCGATTCTGCCAGCAATGTAGCAGGTAAAACCATGATTACCGTTCAGACGGATGGCTATGCTCTGGCCTCAGTTAACTCTTAAGTTGCGTTTTTGTTACTGTAAAGTTCGCATTCAGTTTAATTGTCCAGGATATTTTATTATTTCAATCCCTAGTATTCTAGGGTAGAGGATTGATTCCTGTTCTATTTTTCAGGTTCCATGCTGTTTCTGAGTTTGATGAGAAGAAGCGAAGCTGCCGCAAACGTCTTTCTCATCATAATGCAAGGCGTCGCAAGCCACAAGGCGTATTTCCACTGAATCCAGAAAGGGTGTACGGTAAGAACCGACACCACAAATTAATACAATCGATGTGTCCTCAGGATATTTCCATTTGTCTATTCTATCTTTCTCTATCTCTCTCACACAAACACTACACTTCATATCAAGGTAATCTAACGTGAGGTGTTTACTTCTTCAGATCGAAGACAGCATACAAGTATGTTGTGGAACGGGTTGTCCCTTAACACGAGATCTGAAGAAACGTATGCATGGGGTACTACTTATGAGACAAAGCCTACACAGATGGAAAGCGGCTTTACCCTGAGCTTCCAGAGAGGTAATGGCCCTGAGGAGCAGCTGTTTGCTAGTAGCAGCCGCTCTTTCTCTGTCTTTCAATCCTCAGGCGGGTTCTCAGCAGGGAAATCCAACGTTCAACTTCCTGGCAAAGGTTGATATCTTCACTTCTTTACTGGTCATCTAGTAGTTGTTGTGTATTGTTTGCTGATGGATCAGACTTGTATAGATCTCTGTTGCTGAATCTGAGTTATATGTTTTGGCAGGTCTGGGAGAATGCTCAGGAGGCCTCCATGAATCTCAGGATTTCTACAGTGCTCTCTCTCTTCTGTCAACCTCTTCGGAGCCACGTGGGACCAAACACAATCCCGTGGTCGAACCACAGCCAATATTTGGCACTTTCCCTACTCATTTCATATGAATGAGTGAGGAATACGAAGTCACTCCATTATAAGTCAAGCTGCATCCGATGGAGTTTCTCTTCAAATAAAATAAAAGCGTGTAACGGTCATTGCTCTAGCTAAACCAGTTACTCGGTTAGCTCAGCATTCCTTGTACTTTTCCAAACTTATCAAGTCAACTTCTTCCTGGATCCGTTTTTATGCCAGCTTCATTACTCTGTATAAGACTTGTCTACGACTATTTTAAAACCAGTTCAGAGATCATTCAGGTTGTAATATTATTTGACTTCTTTGCATTGTGTAGACAGTGATAATTATGCAAGACAACTTTCTGATTTGTGGGTTTTAGAGGCACCTATTTCAAGAAACACTTATCTTGTGACAAACCTCAACATGCTCTTCTGGTGGGTCACGATTGAACTCCAGGATTCATTATGGCGAAGCAGATTCATTATTGAGCTGAATCCCCACAAGAAGTGTCACTATTGAGCTGAATCCCCACAAGAAGTGTCACTATTGAGCTCAAGGATTTGGTTAGAGTAATAAGCTGAACCTTTCGTGGAAGTTGCATCAGTAAATATAAAGGTTTATGAAAAATCTTGCATAAACCTCTATTGAAATAGTTGGTGAGCACTTTTTATATCCATGCTATTTGTTAAACTTCACTTGTTAAGGTGCTTTTCATAACTATTGGAGTTCAAGTCTGAGACTTACAAACAGACATCTGCTTGATTTTAGTACACCAGACTGTGTATGATAGATGTATTGGTGCCTAGCGTTTTGTCTCCAACATTTTTTGTCAACAAGTTTCTCCAAAACTGCTTATAGCAAAGAGACAACAACTTCTCACAGACCACTTGGTGACAACATACAATTAATTCCAGTCCTTGTCGTCTTTTTAATCTTTTAATTTCAACATCAACCCATTAAAGCACATGGTTCTCTTCTCTCTTTCAATAGACACACCCTTCCTCTGCAGGCTTTTCGTCGTTTTGAGTCTCTCTCCAAATGAAATTGAAAAAAATTAATATTTGGTCCCTTCCCTAGCTAAGGTTTGTACATATACCTCTCCAACTTGTCATCTTTCAACTTTCACTTTCTTCTCAGTCCTTGATCCTTCTTCTTCAATAGCCTTTCAACAATCACCAAATAGGTGTTTCTTTTCAATTTGGCTTTTAATCTCTTCCCACTTCTCATTGTCTTTTCCTTTTCTATGAACGTCTCTCTTTTTATTTTTATTTCTGGTCTCAAACTTATATTTTTCATAAATAATAATTACCCTCCAACAGTGGAGGAAAATGGTTCAACAAGTACAACAAAGGGGCTACAATGGCCAAAGAAACCAATGTTACAAATGCTAAGACCATCCTCATCAGTCATCTATTGGGAAATGTCCTTAAATATAAAAAAAAAGATAAAGAATTGGTACCAGTGAACCAAGTTGGAGAGGCTTTTGTAAAGGAACAATCTCATGGATTGACTTTGGCAAAGATTGAATAACATCCTCATATTGACACCTCTTATGTTTGTGTTTTAATCTCCTACAGCCTCTACTACTCTAGTACCAAGTTGATAAGAAGTTTGTAAAGATATTTTACCTAGACTAACCGGATTTTGATACTTTCCCTTACAAACCTCAAAACTCTCTCCATTTAGATGTTAATATATGTACTCTGATCTGCTGCTTACGATCCTAAAAGTAGAGCAGAAATCCGGATGATTGATGAAAGAAATACCAAACATATCCCAAACTTCTCGCTCCCTGACGGAGATAGACTTACTACCGGAGATATTCGTGTTACTTCGTCTGCACTGGTTTGTACACGAATGCGAAAAAGTCTTGCTTTTAGTTACCAACCCACGGTCAACTTGAGCATTCATAATTCCACACTATCAATTTGAGGACAAGATTTGTCTCCACGAAATTGGAACTAGAGGTGAGAAACGTGAATTTTCAGCAGCCTTTAATAAATTCTTACAGAGTCAATAAAGATACTTTGCAAAGAGAGACGGCTTTGTTACTAGAGTGCGGTACAAGGATGATGATTACATAGTCGCCGAAGTTTGGCATTCTAGGGGATCCAGGATGAAGTTGTTTTAATAGGTTTGGAAAAGTATCCACCAACAGTAATATGCTTACAAATTTTAAATTAAATTTACTTACTCATCTATTTGGTACGACATCATATGAAAAAGGTAGAGGAAGTGGATGCGCATGTGGTTGAGCCAGGGGATCCGAAGAGGTTGACAGAAGAGAGAGAGCACGGTGGAAATCTTGAGATTCATGGAGGACTCCTGAGTATTCTCCCACACCTGCCAAAATATTTAACCCATTTATCAAAGGACTAAGGTTATAAAATCAACAGAGATATATACTCCCTCCATATACTAAAGGACCAGTGAAGAAGTGCAAATACCAACCTTGGCCTTGAAGTTGGAACTTGGACTTCCCAACTGAGAACCCGCCTGAGGTTTGAAATGTAGAGAAAGAACGACTGCTACTACCAACCAACTGCTCCTCAGAGCCATTACCTCTCTGGAAGCTAAGAGTAAAGCCGCTTTCCGCCTGCCTAGGCTTTGTATCATAAGTGGTTTCCCATTCATACTTTTCTTTAGAGTTTGTGTTAAGGGACAACCCATTCCACAACATATTTGAATGCTGTCTTCGATCTACACGTTACATTAGAGTTCCATGAAATTAAGTTGTGTGCGTGTGTATTAGAGACAGATGGAAAGATCCTGAGGAAACATTGATTTTATCAAGTTGTGACGTAGGTCCGTACCGTACACCCTCTCTGGATTCATTGAAAATAATCCTTGTGGCTTGCGACGCCTCGCATTGTGATGAGAAAGACGTTTTCGGCAGCTTCGTTTCTTCTCATCAAATTCAGAGACGGCATGGAACCTAAAAAATAGAAAAGCAATCAATTCACAACTGTAATATTAATATGGCGGGTAAAAGTTGTTTTTGGACAACTAGACTGAACCGGCACACTCAACAGTAACAAAAATATAACTAAAGAATGAGAGAGTCCAGAGCATAATCACCAGTCTGAATCGTGATCATGGTTTTACCTGCTACATTGTTGGCAGAATCGACGTTCTAGGCCACTCACGGTAACTCTTGGGCACTTTGAATGCTTTTCGCAGACTTTATGCTTACGATGATAATCCTTAGCAGATGAGAGATCGAGGTCACAGCCATCAATTTGGCAACGCGGGACTTGCATGCTCTGACCACACGATTTGGATTTCTTCCGAGCAACAACAGATGGAGTCAACAATTTCATGGAAACGGCGGAAATTTCATTGTTGTTTCTACCCCAAAATTCTTCAGAGTATGCCTGCTTTCCTAGTTTTAAACAAAGATCTGATTCAGCTGAGGCAAGAGATGCGTCGAGAGCTGTGGTTGCCTTCACGTGGACAAAATCGATGTTGTTGCAAGAATCAGCAGGGGAACTTTCTGATGCAAGCTTGCATCGTTTGACATTGGGAGATGATGAGTTGGTAGAGGTTGACTGTGAGCTTTTGGATACAGCAGTGTGCCAGAAACTGGTGGCAGAGCCACTACTGACTCTCTCAAAGCCTAAGAAATCTGGAACAATAGATTCGATGCCATCACCTTTTTCAGTTTCCCACTCAGTAGATAGCTGCTTGTTGTCATTTTCAGTCCTTGAAGGATTTGACATGATCAAGTTCTCCCAGTCCCACTGGAACGGAGATACCATGTTGCAGTCCATTCAAGATATGGGTTGATTTCATAGACCTACCACCAAAGCCAGAGCAAATAGTCCTGTAACAAGCACAAGTTTGCAGGCGAAAATCAGATAAAGAAATAGACTAGACAATCCTTATAATAACTGTGGCTAGCCAAAGAGATACCTAACCGATAGAAGATACCCTCTCAACTAACAATACCACAAGAAAGAAGGAAAAATCAATTCTAGAGAGAATTGTCAATGAAGCAGACAAGGGTCAGCAGAGCGTTTATTGCTCCCACTTTTATCATAAACTTGAGGAAGAAAGACTTTTCAATGTTTCACCCAGACCAGCAAAAAGAGTAAGAGGAAGGGTATTCCTTTTTTTCATCTTTGTGCTCTCCATCACACAAAAACTAAAGTGGCATTTAGTGAATAGGCCCACAGTCCACACACACACACAAATATCAAATTGCCCTCAAGTAATCAATCAAACTTGTCAAGAAACACATGATCTACTAATACACATTGTAGTTGCAAACTCTTTCCAATACCCATTCCTCCTTTGTGTACTTATAGTAAGGTTCATTCACTAACTAACTTGAAGGCTAAAAAAGCTTACAACTGTCTTTACACAGTTGAGTTTTTAACACTATAGTCAAACAAAACGGCACAAAGCAGAGCCATTTAGATTTAGAGAGGGATCTATCTATATATCCCTGCAGCAATAAAGATTGGGAGATAAAAAAAAATGTGACAGTAAGTTAGGTTTGGATCCCAATCAAGGTCCCCTCCTATAGTGAAGCTAGGCTAGGGTTGTAATACAATGAAAGCTCGTGGTCCCCAAAACCCATCAATAAATTCATCAAACTAACGAAAGAGATGAGATTATTAAAAATGAAAACTTTATTCAGTGTGACAATCAAACTCGCCTAGTTAAAAAAACAAAAACGTGAGAGAAGACCATTCGCCATTTTAACAAATTTCTCAATACCTGAGACCCTTCTTCACCTTGAACTAATTTCATTGATTCATCCATCTCTCTGTTTCTCTAGTCTATGACCTAAACTATATTTATAAAGGCTATAAACTTTTAAAATCAATAAGACGCCCAAATCTCAATGAAAGAAGAAGAAAAAGAAAAAGCAAATTTAGTTTTCCAAATCATTTAAGGGGAAGTAAAGAGTAGAAACCTCAAGTAGGAAACAGAGAAGAAATCTCAGGAGGTCGATGATCGGAGAAGAAGCTAAAATATTGAGTAAGAGATAGAGTGAAGGGGACGAGACACACCAAAATCGCCTCAGGAGAAATCGAATGAGAGCAGAGAGAAGAAGAGAGAGCTCACGAGTCTTTTTTTCTTTTTTTTTCTTCGCTTTGCTTTTTTTTTTTAATTTCTTTCATTCTTCGTTCCTTTGCTTTTTTTTGGCTTTGTTTTTTTCTGGTGTCTATTTTATTTCTGCTCATCTAAACTAATAGTATATTATTGATTATTGTTATCAATGAAAATTAGCAACACAGGTTCTCAGGTTTGTGTATTGCAAACAGACACCAAAATGATGAATGATGACTTGTCAGTTGTAACTAACCTTAGGCTCTAGCCTCTACCTCTCCAAAAAAATAAAATTAATATATACAAATACTATTGTAAAATGGACTTTAGTTGAAATGTGTTAGATAGGACTTTAGCTTTAACTTTGGGCAAGTTGTTTAACTTACACGAAAACCTTGTCATTTTGGGGACAAAAATAACAAATTACACATGTATTATATGATACTATCTCTTAACCAAGCTTAGAGTGAACAAATTCAACATTTAAGGCTTAGAATGTTTCCCTTCTTCTTTAAATAAGGGATTTATACGAGAATCCTGATTAAAAACATGTTAACAGCCGCAACTGATATCTATGTCCAAACATTATCAATTTCATAAAAAGTCTCCAACTATCTTCATTCGTTATTTATTCCCAAGTACTACTACCTAGTACCTACCATTCAATTTTTTACATTCGTGCAACTTTTAGTATTTTATAGATTAATTAAAAACCTCTACTACCTTCACAAAAGTATACCAAATACTCTAGTACTAGTAATAATATTGGTTTGCCTAACTACGAAGAGTCTCTCCAACTTCAAACACTGATCATGTCCAAATTAAATTCGGCCAACAACACCAATTAAAAGGTTCTTTGGTTTTGGGATTTATATTTTGATTTGACCTTGTTTAAACCAAAAAAAAGGATTGTGCTTTTGACTTTTGAAACGCGTCGGCGAGAAGTACTTTGGCATGAGTCGCATGACACGTCTGATTTTTTTTTTTTTCTCAAACTCGAGCCTTCTCATGGTTCTTTTTAAGGCTCAGAAACAATCCAATCATCTACTGACACGTAGACATCATACGTCTCAGTAGCCAATCATAGATTGGCTGTGACGATGTATGTTGTGAGAATAGCAATATTGAATCGCCTTTTTAGGTGGTGAATAATACACACAAGTAAAAAAAAAACACACAATAAAACCGAAAAAAAAAAAAAAAAAAAAAAAAAAAGGGTGAAAGTGTTGTTTCGGCTTGATCGTCATTTCATTTCAATTCCCTCTTCTCCTCTCCGGCGTAACGTAATCATGGTAATGGCTACGATTCTCATTCTTCGCTCATGATTGTTTGTTTTTTCGATTGAATCATCGCCATGGGGCTTTCTTTCTTTCTCTTTCCAGATTCACAGTTTTCATTTGTTTAAATTACGTTTCCGATCTGATTTAATTTGTATTGTTTAGTATTTATTATATGAGGATTCAATCGATCTATGTATATCAAATGATTTACTCTGTGTTTTGAATTTTGGTGAATCATCGGAGATTTCGCATCATGCCAAATTATACATTTTAATCTAAATATGAGTTCGGCATAGCTGAGTTGTTATCGAACAACACTATATGTATTGTTGCTTTGATTTGGATGCATGGTCAAATCTTTCCCAATTCATTTTTTGATTTTGCATGAATACTTGAATTTGTGATTTTAATATCCCCCTTGATTCTAGAACCATTCCTATCTTCTGCAGAGGCAGTTTTTTGTATAGTGATGCTTATTGACTATGTTGGTCTGATAATTTCGGTTGCAGACAACCTCAAAGAGACTCGCGGACAGGAAGATTGAGAAGTTCGACAAGAACATTTTAAAGAGAGGATTTGTTCCTGAGACCACCACCAAGAAGGGCAAGGATTACCCAGTTGGCCCTATCCTTCTCGGTTTCTTTGTCTTCGTTGTCATTGGCTCATGTTAGTACTTCTTCCTCTTCCTCTTCTAATTCCGATTCCTAACTGTTCAAAAGCTACTCTATCTTCAAGGCATTACAATAGCATCTTTGAGTTAGGCTTCTTGCTCCTAGATTTATGTCTGAATGTGGATATTGGTTTCCAGATTAGTATTGGCTTCTACATTATCTTTTTTTGTCCCATTTTTATATGACACTAGCTACTAACAAATATAGTCTGGAATCTGAATCATTTGATATGCTAAGTTTTATGTGTATTTGTTTCTGTATCCGCTAACCGTGTTATATGGCTTTGTTACAGCTCTCTTCCAGATCATCAGAACCGCAACTAGCGGAGGCATGGCTTAAACCAAATCGCAGTCGAGCTGGAAGAAGCAGTTTTCAAAATGTAGAATCTTCTTCTGTGTCCTCTCTTTTCCTCTCCTTTTACTGTAGAATGTGTCATCTTTCTGTTTACTATATATATATATACTTCATCATGTAATCAACAATATTTGCATTTAAGTTATTTTATATCCAACGTTTTAAGTACTGTATTCTCTTCAATTTAGATGCCGTTGTTCAGTAGTATCCCCTGAATTATAAGTCACTTTTTTTAATGGAAAGATTAGTCTCACAGGTTTATTTATTACAACACGAAAGTTGTGTATATTACAGTCTCGAAAATCAAAACCAAAAACATATAACAAAACAACAAAAACAAACCAACCCTGTGTGAATGTAACGTTCCAATACAACCTCAAAGACGGCCAACAAGGAAAAAAATGAACCAAGAGAAGAGATCATCAAGCTCTAGCTGTAGGGCAGGGATGAAACGCTGTCCCGCAAGCGATCCAAAGTCGTTTCCTCCCACGAGGAACGGTGCAGCCAGGGACCTTGGTCCATTCCCTAGTAACAGCATTGTAGGTAATCAGACGGTTCATCTGTCTGGACCTCAAGGACAATAATATCAGACAACCTTTGTTGCCTAGACAATTCATCCTAATGTGCTTTCCGTAAAACTCCAAGCACCATATGTTTGGCATTCTGTCAACCTCCTTCCACAACAGTGTCATCTTCTGCAGCTCCCATATGCAAACGCATGTGGCAGCATTTTTAGTCAGTAGACCCACCAGCATCAGCCGCTCTCCGCACGCAGCTAGCGTGTGATCGCTCAGGTCTGGTGGACCCGGTATGATGAACTGCTTCCATTTCCCAGAGACCATGTCATAGGACAATATCCCTTCGGGATCTGTTAACATGAAGTAAAGTGTGCTGTGGATAGCCACTGGCTGTGACTTAAAGTTGAGCAACACCGGGAGCTTTATGTTGGACGGGATGGTCCCTCGTTTGGTCCACACATTACTCAGGGAATCATACACTTCGTACTCTCCTTCACATCCAACCCACAAAACCTTATACCCATGAATGGTGGAGTATCCATTCAGAGTCATCCCTACTGCAACACGAGACCAGACCTTGAACGACCTAGCAGGCAACTCTCTGAAAGACTTGGTCAGGGGGTTGCTCACATAGAAGTTCCGATGACCAATGTCGAGGAAGCACACTAGACCTCCCGCAGAAGCCATTGGCAAAACAATACTCTTCTTAGGCAGTGAGGGGATAACCGGATGGTGCCATTTCTTCAAAGAAGGATCATACACTTGTCCCGAGTTGACATTCTCGTGGGTTATGGTGTAGAACCACGGGATGGTCTGAGGAAGCTCGGTGCAGTATCGGGAGAAGCTATCTGAATCAATCAGAGAATTCCATTTACGGCAAACTGCACGAAACTGGAAAAATGTAGCAATTGGTAGCCTGGAAACGACAGCTTCAAAGAGATCTTGGGGAAATTCCTGCCAGATTTCTTGGTCCATGTCTCCACTAATGTCATCTCTTTCCTTGCATGATTTCCCTGGATTACGTTCTTTTCGAGTCCGTTTGACGGGAGGCTTGACAGTTTCTAACATCTTGAGTATCCCAGGCCTCTTTCCAGCAGCCATTACAATATCACAACAATCATCAGCAGAAGTTTCTTCAATACAGGGCAAACACCATCTGCCATAACAAGAATCGTATCATTTGTCAGGAAAAAAAGTTACATAATCCATAATTCTTCTTTATAATGAAATCATTACAACCAAGTAACTTGATCTCAAATCAACCACAAAGACGTATACCAGAGAAAAATAAACAAACAAAAACTTGCTCTCAAACCATCTCAAAAGGATAGATAACCTCCAAGCACTGGAAACACTATATATAAATGCCTGTATCTACTGGTAGGAGTGAAGCACAACAAAACACAAAGAGAAGGGAAGGCCTCACAAGTCAGCAGGATTCACAGTAATCATCGCAGCCAGCAAGGGTAGCTTTCAAATTTACCAAAACGAGGCAAGAAAATCAAAGCAAGGAGGGACATAAGCAGACAATATAGGTAATTTGAGACAGTGATGGAGTGGTTGTAATAGTAAGAACAAGATAGGAACAAATCGGAATCTAATCAATTTCCTCTTTCAGCTAATTTTAAAAAAACACACAAAGGAAAATCATCATCAGAGCTTTCTTCACAAATGGGATTTGCATGATTCACAAATGGAATAAACGAAAAGAAATTGAAACATATGCCTTAGACAAAAATGGAGCAAACAAAACAAAACAAAACAAAAAGACCTAAACCGAAACACATTACGAATAGTTTCCCCAGTATACAAAAATGAAATAGAGAAATCGCCAAGACATAGATCTAGTCACAAAAAAAGAGAGAGAGAAAAATGTTAACCCGTTGTGATACTGAGGATGGTGGAGAACAAGAAACGAAGGCGAAGAAGACGAAGGAGAAGAAAGAAGAGGAAGAGGAGGAGGAGAACCGTTGTTGTGCAAGAGCTCTTGAAGCTGGCCGATGAGATGTCTAAGCATGGCAAGGTCTTCGTCCATGCCCCAACCAAAAAATTAAAGAGGGATAGAGAGAGAGAGGATTAGCTAGCTTAGCAACCTCTATATCTTACTAGCAAAAGAGATCAATGGCTCCCAGCAGCCATCATTAGCATCAGCAGTTCTATGGGGTTTTGGAGATTTTAACCTCCCACCATGTCCTCTTCTCCGAGACTCTCTCTCTCTCTCTTTCTTTAGTAAAACAAAACCAAAACCATTGTTGTGTGTTGTTATTATTCTCTCTCTCTCTCTTTCTCTCACTCTCTGTGAATTGTCTTTTTCTCTTTCTCTCTTTTTATTGTTTATTTTTAATTTTTTTGCTTAATCTTTTTCCATGGTCAGTTGGCCCCATATGATTATTTCGTAGCAATTATTCCTCCTTCCCCTCTCTATTCTCTCTTTTTATTTTCCCCTTTTACCCCTCTCCTTTTTTTTTTTTAATCATTCACTTTATTCTTATGTACGTTTTATTTCTTTATTACTATTACCATTTTTTCACAAACAATAATGGTTTTTCTTCGTTTTTTTTTTTTTTTTTTTACTACATGATTATTCGTTTTGTTGTAACTAGAAACAAATACTTTTTTTTTTTTTTTTTTGCTTGCCAAACAAAATAAAGAAAGAAGACGCGTGCTTGATAAACTATAAAACAGAGATGATAATTATGGTGGTTTTCTTTTTTTCTTAGATAAAGAGGATAATTGAGAGGTCTTGCTGCAATTATACTAAATCATGGCTTCCTCCATAATGAAATTTTTAATATTTTAAAAAATAATTGCAAAATTTTCAACTTCATCTGTTTGAGTCTTTTTAGCTTTTGTACAATTTAGTTTAGAATTACAACTATTCCAACAGACAAATTTGTTTATAAACCGTATTTTATTTACCACTAGTAAATCATTGTTAGTAATAATGCAGAAAAAAATAAACAAATATATATATATATATATATATATATATATATATATTGAAAATATCAGTTACTTGTCTATCCTAAACTAATTGTATCGAATTATTGAAAATTTTATTTGTAATATCCACAACCACAACATCCATTCAAGACCTTACTACGAAAACAAATTATTATGTCTATCCCTTAATGCTATTAATACTTTAATGTATATTCTTATTAATGCTATTAACTGAGGAATTCATCGTCTCTACTAAATAAATTTGTTAACTAGAGAATAAGGAGAAGAAGATATTGAATCCTTTGTTTGGGAGAGTCATATCGTTTAGAAGAAGACTTGTGAATAACTTGATTCCAACAAAAGTTTATGATTTTAGATTGTATGTAAGAAAGTCATTGAATGTGAATCGAATGTGAATAAATTGCATGTGCATAATTTGCCATGGGGGATAGATGGTCATCTTTTTCTTTTGATTGTAATAATTACATTTTCAAACCAAAACAAAAAAAGAAAAAATCATTCAACAGAGAATGTAAAAGTAGTCGTAAAGCGTTGGGGTTCATTTTGTTTTCCTCTCATCTCCCATCAAAGTATGCTTTGGTCAATCATTTCCCTTCCCATTTACTAACATTTTTGCAATTACCATTATCTTAAAGAACTAATCATCATCATCATTTTTTACTCATCATAACCTCTCAGTGTTTCCCTTTTCCCTCTTAACTATTCTTTTACTTCTTACATTTTAGGAAGATTCACTACATGATGGTAAAACTGAGAAATGTTTGTTGTTAAAAGTTTATGAATATGATTGGTAAAAAGATAAAAAGGTATTTACATACCTTGCACTATGGTCTTCACCTTCTTTGATTCATCATATACTATATAATATTTATCAAGTAAATTGAGAATATAAGATATGACGGCTACTTATCATTTACTATGAATTTTATCAACTAAGCGGTTGCGCGGTTCTTCTACCTCCAACCGCATGGTGGTGTCTCTCCCTACCAAGCAGCACCAAATCCAAATCCATCCATCGAGAAATACTTTTCTACTAATCCCTTTGGCCTATCGTCACCGTCCATTAATTCATTTTAATCCTTCATACATCAACTTTCATTATCTAATAACTATGTTTTCTACTAATAAAGTTTACAAAAGTTTTAAAGGTTACTGTAATTATATTCCTTACTTGAAGCGCGCATATTTTTGATTCCAGCTGCTCTACTACTAAAAACCGACTTTTTGTTCACACACCAAAACCAACCGAGAACCCTTGGATTAATCTCTATTTATCTGATCCAGTCATATTCACTTTTTGACTTTTTTCTTGTTTTAGAAAGCATCCAAGGATTCTTCATGAATGAACAAGTTTTCACATTAGTTCACCATGTAAAGCACATAGATTCAAACTCGGATCGGATAATGTATAAACTGTTACTCTTATTTTGCTTAGTTCACTTACTTGTGAATTGTGCTTAAATATGTTTTGATCATATTGCTTCTCTCAATTCTTGGGATAAAAAGTTGTGAAATAAGAGAGTTGGCAAAACCTCATGGTGTCTACCAACCAATCCATCCCTTGGGTTTTCAACGAGTAGCCCTTTCAACTATTTGGCCGAGTAATCCTCAGGTAATAGTGTTGACGGGAATTGTATTTGGTGTCACTTATGGGGGAATCAAGTTGAGACAAATGAACAAGAATGTAAAAGGTCGGATATTTTTAAGAAAAAGACTCAAAATTCTTCATAACAAGTAGTAAACGGAAAGTTAAAAGGATTCTACAGTATAAAGGGGAAAAAGGAGACAAGTCAGAAGAGAAGAAGAGAGAGATTCATTTTGAGAATTGCTTCCTCCAGCTAGAATGTGATTTTTTTTTTTTGGTTTAAGCCATGCCTCCGCTAGTTGCGGTTCTGATGATCTGGAAGAGAGCTGTAACAATGCCATATGTTCAAGGTTAATGGAAATATAAACACATACACATAATATCAAATGATTCAGAGATTTCAGACTATGTTTGTTACTAGCTAGTGTCATATAAATCTAATACCAATCTGAAAACCAATAATCCAAATTCAGACCAAATTTAGGAAGTGGAATTAGAAGAGGAAGAAGTACTAACATGAGCCAATGACGACGAAGACAAAGAAACCGAGAAGGATGGGGCCAACTGGGTAATCCTTGCCCTTCTTGGTGGTGGTCTCAGGAACAAATCCTCTCTTTAAAATGTTCTTGTCGAATTTCTCAATCTTCCTGTCTGCGAGTCTCTTTGAGGTTGTCTGCAACCAAAATGATCAAATCGACCCATTAAATTAATCATCATAATATATTGCATATATGTTTAGATCAATCATTATTCAAATCACAATCAACAAAGACATCCAATTTGGGTACCCAAATCATGTAGATTTAAAGAGAGAATTTCTAAGTCAAAAACAAATAGCTACTCAGCTAATCGGACTCAAATTTCGAAAACAGATCCACATTTGGCATGATTCCATTATTCAAACACAAGAGTGAATCATTGATATCGTAGCCAATGAACACATGAATCCCTATAAAGGAAGAAGCAATCGCTATGATTCAAAATCGACAACAACAAAGCTCGAGATCGCGGCAAATACCATGATTAAGCCGGAGAAGAGATGCTAGAAACGAAGAGGGATTGGACGATCGCGAGCCGAAGATAGAAACACTCGTCCCTTTTGTCTTTGCGTTTTCTTTTTGTGTTTGACTTAAATGATGATGATGTCTTGGTGCTTTCAATATTTAATAGGTAAAAAAGTATCTCACGACGACGGACATTAAAAGAGATCGGTTTGTTTATGCAAGCAACTCACCGCGAACGTCGTCACAGCCATTCTTTGATTGGTTCTCGAGACGTGTGAGGTCTACGTGGAATTCACTGATTGGCTGCTATTATTGGGCTTTGAAATGCTCGAGAAAAGCCTTCTCTCTCATGTCAACCAACGTGGACAAAGATGGGAACGCACGCTGGTTAGTTGAATTGAATCTTGAAAAGTCAAAAGCACCCACTTCATCATCTCTCGTTTCTTCGACGGTGGATTTGTTACAGATGATACAATTACAAAAGAAAGAAAACAATATCTTCTAGTGTAAGAGCTATCTTCAACTTTATACCACAAAGCAGCCAGTGTATGTATATGATGTATAAGTAATGTCCACTCCCTACCTTGGACGATGATGATAAAACGATGCAACTTTTTCTATTACAAGAATCCTAAATCACACACACACAACACTTTTACACACGTACTACGGCTCTCTTCCCTGTCCAACCCAACTCTTAATAGATACCATTCCAGCTAGGTGCTACTCATCTACAAACCACATGTTCTTTTCTTTTTTTTTTTTTTTTTTGTCTCCCGATCAGAGAAGAGCAAATAAAATAAAAAATAACTTTACAGGTGAAACTGGTCTAAACTTCTTGGCCATGGCCACAATATGGTCACACCGGCCTTTCTATATACACTCTTTTTGCAACCGTCAATCTGTTTTTCATTTTTCCCTGCAATACCAATTTCAAACAATGTCGTTAGTAACAGTTGTGAAAGCATGTATCTTTTGATGGGGGAAACATATACGTATAAACAAAGGCCTTACTACTACTTCAAGATGCTAAGGAGTCACGAGTTTTTGTGTTTCCTTCGCCTTTTCTTCCTCCAGCTCATCCCTTTTCTTTTCTATTGTTTATGATTCTGTATCTGAAGACGAATCGAAAAAGCGAGAAACTTCACGGTACAGCTGCTCTGCTTCAAAGGGTTTTGATACATACCCATCCATTCCACACTTTAGACATTCCTCATGCGTTGCTTGTATCACGTCTGCGGTCATTGCTAATACCGGGAGATGCCAGCTTGCTTTGTTACCGTTCTCTACTATCACAGCCTCCCCATTCTTTATTCTCTTGTTTATCTCCTCTTCCATATCCCGTATTCTCTTTGTAGCCTCAAATCTGCAGCAAAAAAAGAAATAAAAAAAACATCTCTCAACTTTTACTTTACATTATTTTAACTTTTTTATTCCCACAAACTAGTATAAAAATCAGACATACCCATCCATTTCTGGCATCTGAATGTCCATGAAGCAAGCATCAAACTCGTGGGGTGGCTTCAGCAATGAGATTGCCTTTATCCCGCTCTCAGCGCAGACCACATCAGCGCCATACTTTTTCAGAGCTCCTGCTGCCACTCTGAGATTTACGTTGTTATCATCCACGATTAGAATTTTTCTACCAAGTAGAAGATTTCTGAGTATCAAAGCAGGAGGTCCCTTCTGTTGAGGTGGTTCCCTGTTTCCAATACCCAATCCCCTTTGCAGAGTTGCTGCTAGCATACTCGCCCTCAATGGTTTCACTATCACTATTGGAGGATCTCTACCGGTGCAATAAGCATCTGGTATTGACGATTCTACTGAGTTTGCTAGCAAAATCAATTTAGGAGAAAGGACAAGAGGCTCTTTCTGTAGCTTCTTAATGAACACATCTGCTTCCCTATTCCATATTTCTTGCTCTATAAGAATCATATTCACAGTGCAAGTACCAATCTTCATATAATGTAGAGCCTGTTCAACACGTGGAACTACTTCGACTCGAATTCCCAGGCGCTGAAAATGGTACCACGAAACTTTTGCCCTTGCAGGCCGATGGTCCACAACCACAGCTTTCATGCCTCGAAATTCCGAGAATATAGGCTGGTTGTTGTTCTGCGGGTCGTTCTTCCTTTCAGTTTGCTGCATGCCATTGGAAAACACAGCGGTAAATGTGAATGTGGACCCGACCTTGGGAGTACTCGAGAATCCAATTTCTCCCTTCATCAGTCCAACTAGACATTTGCTTATGCTAAGTCCAATTCCTGTGCCTCCATGCGTCCTGGATATGGATGGTCCGACTTGCATGAAAGGCGTAAAAATACGGGACTGCGCTTCTAATGGGATCCCTATGCCAGTATCTTCAACTGCAACGATTAGGTTGATATCAGGTGGAGATTGTTCAAAGCTCCGATGCCCACTGGAGCTGAAAGCTTTGAAGTTTTCCCAGCTCCTCTTCCGGTCTGCAACTGGAAGCCCGCTCAGTGTACTTTCTGGAGATGATGCTGTCTCTCCATCAATAGATTCAAATAGCTCCTCCACCAAATGAACAGTTACAAAGATGTGTCCTTTCTCAGTGAACTGCCAGGATATTCGTAAATGATCAGCTTCTTTTATCAGTCGACTAAGATGCAAGGAACAATCAGCAAAGAATAAACAATTTACCTTAATGGAATTACCCATAAGATTTGTGAGTATTTGTCTAAACCTCCCAGGATCACCAATTAACATCTCTGGAACACGATCAGATATGTATACTGCCAACTGCGTTCATTAGCAACACTCAACAAATCAGTAAGAAAGACTTGATATTAGTAACAGCCCTAGGTTTGCAGATCATAAGTATCATACTATCATATAAAAAAAAGTATCATACTATCATATAGTTTTTTACCTCTACCCCTTTTTGTTGGGACTTCCCAGAGAAGAGTGACAGGACATCATCTAATATTCCTCTCAAATCAAACCGCACGTCCTCAAGCTCAAGTTTTCCAGATTCAATCTTAGCCTGGTCCAAAACCTCGTTTATTAGCGAGACTAAAGCTTTTCCACTTGCCTGTGCAGTCCTAACATAATCCTGTTGCGTAACATCTAATTCTGTGTCCATAAGCATATGCAACATTCCTACAAGCCAAATCAAAGTCCACATGAGAAATATGTGCATTTATGGAATAGAGGTGAAAGAAGAAGGCAAAATAGTGGCCATTTCAATACTCACCAAGAACACCATTCATTGGAGTTCTGATTTCATGTGAAACAGTAGCAAGGAACTGCATACAAAAAATAAAGTTAGATTACAACACTTCTCACTAACAAAGAAAGCTTAATATGCTGTGGACAACTATTGATTGATGATGATGTATGTACCTGTGACTTTGCAACATCTGCTGCTTCAGCCTTTTTCTTGAGCTGCTCCATTTTATGACAATCTTCTTCAACTTTGGTTATCCGACTCACAGTTGCATGGATTATATGTGCAACAAGCAACGCAATTACAAGGATACCAAATGATGTCACCATTGATAGCACTGGCCATGGTGGTTTCTGCTTAAACCTACAAAAGAAGAAGAAGTCCCCAACAGAAGGTTAGCACCTGGATTCTTGCAAACAAGAAGAAATAGCAGGCATATGCTGAATTGGCCAAGTACCTGCAACGCATTTCATGCTTTCTAAATGGATCGCCAAAGTTTAGTAGACTAACACGTTCCAACCCATCAGCAGACACATCTGAACCATACATGCTAATCGGTTGGGAGTGATTTGTGGTATCGTATACATTGACAAGAATTGTTTGCTTGCTAGCCAGCTGCTGAAGCAAGTTTTCCACCAGGGACTCAATGTCAAACACTCCACCAAGATACCTTCAGTGCCAATAAAAAAGAGATCAATGAGCAAAAATAATATCTGTAAATCTTATGCATGATTGCGTCAAATATCAAACTCCAGTTATTTATTTAGACATGCTACACGCACCCATTAGTAGCCTCAATTCTCTCTTTTGGCGTTGCATTTGAAGGGAGATCTCTTTTGTAGACTGCAAATGTCAGGATCACCCCAAGTCTATTTGTCTTTAGCAATGGAAAAGGAGCTGTCAAAACCCCTTTACCTGATCTCCTGGCCCGTAACACATTTTCTCGGTCTTCCTGGCAAGGAGAATTCAGTGAGATTAAGTATTAAATAAACCAGTGGTCTACTTTAACTAAAATGATCACAACAAGTTAATCAGTAAGCAGAGATTGAATGAACTAGCTCTGTCCACCGGGGAGTGAGTGCAGACCATAATTGTGAACTACATAAAAACAATAAAATGGAGCTTACTTTGCCAGATAGCATATCGAGAGAAACTACATGAGAAACAGTGTCCTGAGCAAAGATGACTGGAGCATACTCCTCTTGAACAGGGGATGGTTCCAAAGCTTCCGGGTCATACTCATCCTTATGAACTGGGTTTTGTTCAAGAGAATCCATCCTCCTAATACTCCAACCTTGTTGCCTCTCAAATTCTTCCCTCTCTGAATGGAGCACCCTCATAGCATATGCAACCCCGCTTGTGAGAGGCCTCTCAAAGGAAGTTCTATCAGTGTACTCTGAGAATGTTCTCTACACAAAAGCTTATTGCTGTTAATATAGTGTTCACTAATACTCAAGAAGACAGGAATCAAGCTACAAAGTGTTAGCTACATACCAAGACTTATCTGAGACGACTAAATATTACCAAACTGTAACAAATCTCCAAAATTGTATCTTAACTAATAATCCTAGAGCAAGTTGAATGAAGAAAGTTGCCTTAATTTGAAGATAAGCCTCAAATCATACAAGGATCGTTCATATACTACACTGTAGGAACAACTTATGTTGTACAAGCAAGACTAGATCGCATGCATCAATCAAAATTCCCAGAGGATGATATCGTAAACACAATCGAAACAGAAATGGAAGAGACTTGAGCAGAAGCGAAATGAAGAATAACCTGATCGATAGCAGAAGGAATCTTGCCATGGTGAAAGGTGGAAATCAAGATAGACATGGCTTGAACATGATTCATGCTAACGTTGAACTGATCCTGTAGCATACGAGCCCTCTCATCACACATACTAGTTAGCGTCTCTTTCCTCTTCTCCATAGCTTGAGAGCTAAAGTACCAGAAGGTCCAAATGGAGACCAAGACCCAGAGGACGACCCAAGCCACCACAAGCTTCCTCCACCAAGCCTTGTTGAATTTAACTGAGCCAAGGAACTGATAAGAGAAACTTGGGATCTTAAGTCCGCTGATGGAGATCCTATTCCAGAAGCACATCTTGTTCTTCTTCTTCATGGTAGTCATCTTCGTCTTCTCGAGATCACCGACAGAGCCAACTAGAAGACCAGACTTGTCCTCGATCCCATTATCAACGAACCAAGAAACGAACCAGCAGCATAGCATCCAGAAGAGATGCCCAATCTTCAGAGCAAACCCTAGGACATGGAACAAACTCATCCACCAGTTGAAAACAGGATCAGCCCCAAAGAAACAGAGAGTGATTAGAAAACCAGCTCAATTCAACAGACAGAGAGAGGCTCCCACAGAAGCACAAACCCCCAGAAGAACCAAACAACAAATCCTGTACAAAAGGGGACGAATCAGAGAATCACTCAAATCCAAAAGCAAGAATTATTTCTAAAAAATCCCTTTGTAGCCTTCCCAGAAACAAGCAGAGAGAAAAAAAAAGAAAGAAAGAAAGACAGAGGAACGTGTCAGATTAGACAACCCAAAGGGGTTCGAATTGAGAGATCAAAGAGGTTACTTAATCAAAGATGACGAAAGATAAGAGGAAGAAAACAAAAGAAAATAAAAAATAAAAAAAAATAAAAGGTAGAAACTTTGAACAGGAACTTAAAGTTGGAAAGCTAGATTCCTCGAAATCCAAAACAGGAAACAAAAAATTAAACAAGCTCTCCTCTCGTCCTAGTATATAATTGGCTCGAGTTTGGGTTTCCAAAATACTACAGAAATCTCTCAAGTGTGATGATGATGAGGAAGGATATGATGAAATGATGAGAGAAAAGAACAAGTGAAAGAGAGAGAGAGAGAGAGAGAGAGAACGAATAAAGCGGCGAGAAAGTGGACAGAGGAAGCTAGAGTAGAGGAGAGAGTTGAGTTGAGTGGATTATCTAATGGGAGAAGGAAACTAAACAAAGAGGAGCAGCAGAAGTAGAAGAAGAAGAAGAATCTATCATCGGAAAAGATGAGAAGAATATGGTGGAAGACAAATGTCTGCTTCCTTCTCTCTCTATTATCTGATTATTGTAGTATATATCTTTTTCTTTTTTTTTCTATTTATTTCATTCATACTTCCCCATTTTTTTAATCTTAAGCATATGTACTACTACTGCCTAAAATACATACTCTAATTCATATAAAAATTAAATCCTGTAAACTCGATTCTAGAAGAAAATCTTCAAAGTTGAGAGATTCTCTTGTTTAGATCTGTATTCTCTCTCTTTTTTTTAATGTCTACAGTAGTTAAAATACATACATCATTAATATTACTATTAGTAACACATTAATAATTTACATAAATATACAACAAATGATTGGTAAAATAACTTACTCCTCTCTCTCTCTATAAGAAAAAAAAACACTAAACGGCGCAGGAAATAAAAAGAAGGGGCCCACAAGAAGGGAACAAAGGCATATATGGTCTCACTTCTCACCCTCCAATTATATAATACTAAACAAAAAAACAAATTAACAATTTATTTACAAAAAAAGAAATATAATTATAATTGTATTGGGATGTGCTGCAGTAGTTGGTAAAGTGACAAAATTGTTTGGCCATTAATCATAAACTACACTAAAGTATTTCACAAGTAACCTAAGCTCCTATTTATATATATACTAGTCGGTTGTTCGCGCTACGCGCGGGAATTTATTATGTTGTTTATGAGTAATTGATTCGTATTTTATTTTCTACTTATTTTTTTCACTATACCATACTTTACTTTTTTAAAACTTAGATTGTGTTTTTATATAAAAACTATTGAGTTTTAGCCTAATTAGTTATTGAGAAATTAAGTGTGTATAGTATAAGTCGAAGTGTGAACGTAAACGGAAGTACGGTGTAAAATCTTTGAGAAACGTGTGTTATTAGGATTTCTACCAAATATAGATCTAGATGTTAATATTTTGTGTATGTTGGAATAAAATTTGAACATGATTTGTGGGTTTCGGACGGATTGTTATATTTTTAATTGTTTACATTATCTCTTTATATATTGTCATAATTTATTTTTTTGTTTTATGTTATTCTTTTTTGGATTTGTCGTAATTATATCTCGTAATGATCATTTTTATACTATTATATATTTGTTTCTGATTTTATGTTATATATATATTTTTTTTGTTTTTCATATGGAACAATTTTAAATTTAACATATTAGTATAATTTACTTTATATTTAGTTTATTTCATTTAATAATGTTTTTTATTTCAATTTTCAATTTTTATGAAATATTGTTAATTTTTTATTTTGTTTATTAGTTTAACATATGTGTTGTATTGGAAAAAATTAGTTAAATTCATATTGGAAACCTTTAAAGAAATATTATTTTTATTTTCACGTTTTTAAAAAATGAGAATTGATGTTTCGGTCTGACCTTTCTCATTTATGTTAGAAAATTTTGTGAGACATAAATTACATAGATTTATATTCTCAAAATTTCTTACTTTCTTTTCTATTCTCGTTAAATCCCATTATATTTGGGTTTACATTGTGTAAATATAATCATATATATATATATATATATTTTAAACATTCACTAAAAACTATAATCTATTATTTATATATTTCTTAGTATAATCGATAATTAGTAAGTTTTTTAACTTTTAAACAAATCATCTTTTTAGTTTTATAATGTATAATATAAAAAAAACCTTTCATATTCCTTTTTGAAAAATTTATTTACATAGGTTTAAATCTTAAAATTAAATGATAAAATGGTATAATTAATTTTAAAAATTAAATAATAAAATGAGGTGTATGATGATGTTGCAGAAGGAGAAGAGAGATAAAGTTAACTTTATATATATATATATATATTAACTAACTCGGTTTTTCTCCAATTTTCAATATACACTTTCCTTTTAAAACCAAAGCATTTGTTTTCAAAGGCCCATTTAAAATATAAACAAACACTTTGGTCTTAATGGGCTAAGATAATATAAGTCCAAAGGCCCATATAAAAGTAATCGTCAAATTGTTTCCCGTATAATTGCTTTCAGTAGTTATCTCTCGGTCATCTTTCTCTCTCTCTCCTCTTGAGAAAGCAAAGCAAAAGCACACGAAGGGAAGAGCTAAAAAGGATCAATCAAAAGGGAGGACACAGACGATAGAGGAGGAGGAGGAGGAGGATGGATCCAGACGCAGTTGCCAAGGCTTTCGTTGAGCACTACTACTCCACCTTCGATGCTAATCGTCCCGGTTTGGTTTCTCTCTACCAAGAAGGATCCATGTTGACCTTCGAAGGCCAGAAGATCCAGGGCTCTCAGAACATCGTCGCTAAGCTCACCAGCCTCCCTTTCCAGCAGTGTAAGCACAACATCACCACCGTCGATTGTCAGCCTTCTGGTCCCGCCGGCGGTATGCTCGTCTTCGTCTCCGGTAATCTTCAGCTCGCTGGCGAACAACACGCTCTCAAGTTCAGCCAGGTTTTTTTTTTTCCTTTCCCCTTAAAATCTCATTCCCTTGATTTTAGATCACTTCGATTTTGATTTTTGATTGTTTCTCCTATGTCTTTCTGGTTCTCGATCATGTACGGATAGGGTCTTAGGGTTTAAATAGTGTTGTTCTGTAGATTGATATGCATATTATTTAGTCAATAGAAGCTTCAACGATCTGGAATTTTCTCGAATTTTTATACCCTCCCTGATGCATTCACTGATAGATCCGTGTGTAGGTTAAAATGGTAAAGAGTTTTTTTCTCCCAATGCTTGCGTACTTGTAATCTTGAGTCATCTCTTGCTGGAACATAGATTTCTTCTTGTCGAGCCTCTCTCGCCTTCTGCTTCGTGAATGTAGCATCGGAATAATGCTTCTTCTAGGGTTTTGTCTACTATGCTTAAATGTGATCTTGTAGTCTTTGATATGCATCTGATTAAAATGTCTCAATTCTATATAGTTCTGTGATGCTTGTGGTGTGTGTATCATTTTCTGTAAGACTTTTTTGGTCTTTTCAATTTTGGAAGGCTCTTTTACTAGATATGTCCTATAGGAAGCCAAACAATATGTTTGCATCGTTGCTTCTTAGTTCTTCATTTCAAAGGTTTGTGTCTTTGTTATCATTTTTATGTCTCAACATCAAACTAGTGGAATGTATGCATCGGAGCAAAGTGGGATGTATTATTCATGTCAACTTGATATATGCATCTCGATTCCTGAATTAAAGTAGCATAAATCTTGTTTTGATTTTGCCTGTTTCCTGACATACCTTGTCTTTTGTGCCCAGATGTTCCATTTGATATCGAATCAGGGAACCTACTACGTGTTCAATGATATATTCAGGTTGAACTATGCCTGAGGAATGTGGTGCCAAGGGTATATTCACCATTATTTCAAGCCAAGAAAGAGTCCGGTGGAAGTTTGGGGTGCGAGTTTGTTTTAGATTTGGAACATAAAGCTTATTTCTGGTGATTTGCTGTCTGTTTTTATTTTAATCAATGGAGCTCTTTGTTACTTTGGTTGAGATTACTCTATTTGTCTTCGGGCATTGATCCATGATTTAGTAAGTGCTTTAAGGACAAAACAAATGTTTTATTTGGAATATGGTTCCCTTTTGAAAGTTGAAACCCTTTTTCATATGACAAAACAACTATTCTTTTCTTTGCATTCGATCGTACAAACGTAGACTACCTATATTGGAAAAGTAAGAAAATAGTGACGGTGACCCAGTTCCCATATAACAAACAAAAGAAAGTTATCGTTCTTCATCGTCATCGAAACCAAATTCTCGCAATAGCTCGGGCACTTGAAGTTGAGGTCCACTGTCTGTTCCATTCCCATGGTTGTCTTGATCTTTGGAAGTGGAAGTCCCCGTGAGTTGGTTCTTGAATGGACGTATCTTACCTTTGAACATCCCATTGAGCATACCCCCAATGGATCTGACTGGGTGGCTAATCCTATCTTTCAACATGAAAATCATCGAGTACTCAGAGAGCTGCCAAGTCAATGTCAGGATGATCATAGCCGAGAGCAGAATATGGGTAATTCTGTTCTGCTTCTTCACCTCCTTGATGTCTTTAGCTAATTCTTCTATACTCTCTTCCAAATGTCTCTTGCCCTCGTGTTTTCCTTTTGATGGTGGTGAAGAATCTGGAGATTGTTCTTCTTTCTCTGCTTCTTTGGCTTTCCCATGAGTTTTTCCCTTCAGCTTTGGTGACTCCAACTGTGTTACACACAAAAATTCATCAGCCCTGAAATGGGAATAGGTCATCAACGCATTCCAAAACAGGACATGAAACCAAAAAAAAAGACTTTAACACAATCATGTTGACAAGATATAAGTTCAATGTTACATATATAGCCAGGACACAATTTCAAACCGACACTTAATCTTCATTTCACTGATCCAACCCAACAAATTGGAGCTTGGTTATGATATTTTGACAAGCTCACAACAAAAGACAAACAACTTTGTGTCTGTTTGATTCACGAGTAAGATCAGACCAATCAAATCAAATCAAAGCACTCATCACAGCGGAACAATTTACACAGACTCATTGGTATCTTCTCAAATAGGTATGATTCAATCTTTCTACCCAGAAAAGTTGATTGGGGGAAACATCAGACTAATCAAGAAAGGAGAAAACAGAGCCTCGGGGGAAAGAAACAAAGTACCTGAGAAATAAGCCGAGAGAGCAAAAGCTGATCGTCATCGTCTTCGATGAATGCGTCACCAGAAGCTTCTCTCTTCCTCTTCTCATCAAGAAGCTTCTCGATGGCTTTGCTAAGATTCTCCACATCGTCACTCGACTCCATTTCCCTTCTTCTCTAACCTCCCCGCCGCTCTCGCTATCTATCTCCAAGGAAAGAAGTTAAGAAGATGTTTGTTGCTTACAGTTCTCTATTTTATTTTTAGGTAGAGAGGAGTTCCCTTCTGTTTTGTCTTGACAACGTAAGTCGGGACAGGACACGTGACATCTATTGACCGCACGGCACCTCCACTATCTTTCTTCCACTACTTAACAAAAAAAAGAACTATTAGAAATTGAAATGCGCAATAGCGTAGTCACCAATTAAAATATTAAAACATGTAATAATAATGTATAGTTTTAGTTCTCTCTCTTGGAATTCACACACACACACACGCACGCATACACAAAAGGAGTCTACAATGACAGGGAATTGAAAGTGTTTTACAATAACAGAGTATAGAAAAGAACGAAGAAGACAAGCTGCGACTCAACTCAAGAACCAACCAAAAGCAATCATCTAGCTGCAAGGGAATCCTAAAAGAGATAAAGAATGAGCCAAGATTAAGAAGTATCTATCGAGGACAGAAGCAGGGGAGGGTTGGATGATAGAACAAGACTCAAAAGAGATCGCCATCACAGGAAATAGAGGCAGTAAAATCCCTAAGAATCTTTGTATTATAGCCTTTAAGAAATCATGTTACATAATAATAAAGAAAACATCCATTAAAAGAAACACACAAATCTGAAGCCTTTCTCTATCTCTAACAGTAAAATAGAAAATTCTGTTTTGGATAAGTAAAATATATGAAACTCCCCCAATATCCACATGATTATCCCCATCCCCACCCAAATTACAAGATAAAGAACATAGAGGAAAACTCTATATAGGATGTGTTTATAATAATAACCAAATCCCATTCTTCTTCTTTTTGTTGTCCTGCCTCGCTCTGTTTCTTCCGGATGCTTTAAGCTCCTTGTTTATCATTTCACAACAGCTTCCATTCTGCGATTCATATGGTCAAAACAAAACCGTTATTGCAAGAACATGCTAATCAACAACACCCAAAAACACATAGGTTCAGTTTCATAAGACCAAGTCAAGCACACGTTTGAAAAAGCAAGGTGAAAATGTATGATGATGGCATAAACATTATCATGATCCAAGAGGAAACAAAAACAGAACGAACATTTGTGTTTTCAACAAAATTCCCATTTAGCTTTGCTGCTTTTCAAGAAAAGCCTAATTCGAATCTCCATTTCTAACAATACCCAGTGGAATCATTCTGAAATGATCAAGATGCAAACTGTAGATAAAACCTAAACAGATCCGAGACATTGAAATGAAAAAATTGTGATATAAATTTAAAAACAAAAAAAAAGATTCAAAAGGGAAATACCAGAAATCTCCTTGCCGGAGGAAGAAGGAGGCGTCAAGACGTAACAGAGAATAGACCTACCAACCATAGAAATGGCGGAGACGATCCCGGCGACATAGAAAACCATGATAAGAGCGAGAACCCAAGGCATCAATAGAAACCCGATGAAGAAAGTCACAGATCCACAGAGCATAAGAGCCACGGATATACCAAGCAGCAACGACGCGAACCCAGATGGCGAAATATGCGCCAGAGAAGGAGACGAAGAAGACGAGAAACGATGCGAAGACGGAGGACGAAGTCTAGGCGGCGGATCGGAGAATTGGTCGTCGGGGAAAGAAATCGGCATAGGAGGTGAACGGAGAAGATTCAAAACAAGAGCCGATAGATCGTAAAAAACCCTAGATTGCTGCTGTTGATCTCGCTCCACCCTTCTCATCATCACAACAACAAAATGAAGAAAGTTGCAACCTTTTTTTTAACCCAAAAGATCACACAAAAATTGCTTGAGGAAGAAGATAACTACACAAGAAAAAAGGGAGGTTTGCTAAAACCGAGGCGAGAAGATAAAACTAAAAAACAAAACAGCCGCAAACTGATTGGGTGGAACAAGGTGTGTTAATGGCGATTGCCAACTAAACACGATAACAGTTCTCTCTCTCTTACACACAACACAATAAAGGATCGAAATTTCTGCAAAAGACTTGTTGTTTTTTGTGAAAGAAATGCAGAAGCAGAATCGTGAATCGTGTGTTTGTGTTTTGGAATTTGGATAACGGAAAAAGCAACGAAGAAGTAAAAAAAAGGAGCGTGTGAACACACGCGATGGGGTGGCGAGTATGGAGAAGACGCGTAGGTTTTGGTCTTATCTTCTAGACTAGACCATTCTTCTTATCTAATCAGACTTGTTGTAATAAATTTGTCCCAATCATATTACCAGAGAAGTCGTTCTCTTGTTTTGCTCCTCTTTTTTGTTTTTTTTTTCCTTTAATTTCGGTTCTCTATTTAATTTGACTTGTATAAAAGTTATTATTTATTTGATTCAAAAAAGACCGAAGGCTTTTATGAAAATACAAAACTGTCTCTATCGCTGGGGGGTTTTCAATTCAGGCTACTTGGAGTTGGGAGAAAAGGAAGGATCTGTGAAATGATTAGATTGAAAATTTACACAGTTCAATGATTCATCCTTTACACTCATTTGTTATCTTCACTCTAATCCTTTCTTGTAATCCAACTCTTAAAGGACTAACATATTATTATCAAGTTAAATAATTGTACTAAATTACTTAATCATGTCATTATTTCTTGTTCAGAAGTCAAACTCAAAATTATTTTTGCATAGGACCCAGTAAACTAAATATATGAGCCAGGCCTATTATTTAGAATTTTCTTTTCTATTTTCCTGAATATGGTTAGTTGAACAAATGTTGATGATGAGTCTTCTTCTATAGGCCCTATACAAAAGTATAGAGATGGCCCAAAATGATATTAGGTGGGTCTACATATAAAAATAAAATATTTAGTGGGTTATTACTTGTTATTTAGAAAGAATCTTGAGATAAACAACAAATTCTTAATTTTTTTGTGTATTGGTTTGCACTTTGCACATTAGTAATAAACAAGAGCCTCTTAAGTCTAAGCCTTTGTGTATTATCAGTGTATGTAGTAATGAACATCCAAAACAACAACAACAGGTGTAGATAGTGGGAGTTGTGTTTCGTTAATATATACATATACAGTAAAACCTCTATAAATTAATAATGTTGGTACCATGGAAATCTATTAATTTATAGAGGTATTAATTTATCGATAAATTAATAATTATTAATTTATAGAGAGATATTCCTAATTTGGAAAATATTTTCAAAACAATATTTAAAAATAAGATTTAATCATGATAATTAGTATTTTATAAATAAAATAATAATAATTATGTATTAAAATAGAATGCTAACTATTCTTCATATAGTAAAATATTAAAAATAAAATCTAACAAAAAGTAATGTGTCTATATATACATATATTTTGAAAATTTTACCTAATTATTAATTTATAATATTGATGGGATCATATATTTACAAAGGATTTTCAAAAAAATTATTATCTTATTATTTTATCGAAATATGTCTAAAATTACACTGGTCCTAACTTGGGACCGGAGAAATTTATTAATTTATAGAGATTATTAATTTATCGAGTATTAATTTATAGAGGTTTTACTGTATATACACAAAGCCTTTGCATATTCTTAAAACAAAATACAATATATATATATATATATATATATATATATATATATATTATGTGTGAGGTAAACATATATGGGAAGCAAAATTGTTGGAAAAAATTATTGAATTATAGAAAAGGGGCATAAACATTATTACACACACACATGCACACAAGACAGAAAACATTTGATAGAGGTAAATAAAATAGAAAAAGACATGGAGATCATCATCTTAAAATGTCAAAAAGGAAAATTAATTTTAAGAAAGATTCAAATAGAGTTGGTATCATAAGGTAACCAACCCAACATGTAATTATTCACACTTGGTCCTGCTCCCATTCCATGATCTTGCTGCCCTTGATACCTGCCCAATCCATCCATCCATATCGTTTACCATAATTATTACATCAACATCACCTCTCAGAAAACCATCAAAGGAGAGACTAAAAGAATTGCATGGTTATATAAACATATAAAGTTACCCGATCTGAAGAATGGGTTCACATTCAAGAGGCTGGAAGAAAGCTTGGGAGTGTTGGTGTTGTTGTTGATGATGGTGACGAGCATAGTGGTCAACATGATCTTCTGGGTTAGGGTTTAGCTGGAGTGGCATCTGATACCCATCAGCCAACTGCCAAGTACATAACACACACACACTTGTTGTTTCAAACCAATTACCAAAGTTAAGTAGTGTGATTCATTAATAGTTGACGAGAATGTGGGTTATATTAAATTACCCTTAGTCTTAGAGTTTTATTTGTCTCAGTCAGCATGCGTTCCTGCCATTTAAATATATATACATATATTTGAGTTCAATTAATTTGTTGGTTTGTATATACTAGCTAGCTAGATTTGGAATATTAAAAAGAGGAGCTATATTGAGTGAGTGAGTATTGGTATTTACCTTACTCTGTAGATCGTTGAGCTGGTCGAGCATAAACTGTGTCTGCAGAAATTAAACCCAATTACAGATTTAACATATGGTATATCTTAACTAATATGGACCCAGCTGCATCAGTGGTGTAAAGATATGAGAAAATGATATGAACAAGAGTAGTACCCGGAGAGCTCGGATCTGCTTCAAGGAAGAGTCAAGCTGTCTCTCGAGTGACTCAAGCTCCTTTGAACTTAGAGGCCCAAGATCTTCTCCCAATAGGTTCCTATTTCAAAACTCATCATCAGTTGTCAGAGTGTACATGTATAAAAACAAGTAAAGTAGCAAATTTAAGGAGGAGTTATATATATTAGTTAGTTAAGTATACCTTTGGGTTCTTTGTAAGGCGTCATAACGCTCCTTAAGCTTGAGATACTCCTGCTGGCTACTAAGTTCCTGCAGTAGTGTATATCAAATCAACATTAACCATTGGATCTCTTACCGAAAAACTAAGCAGAAAAATTCAAGGTAAATTGAAAAGAGAATTGAAAAGGGGTACAACTGCTAAGGCCTCTCTTGAAGGCACATTGGGTTCTGGTGCTCCATAGTTGCACTTTTGGTACCTCTCCAGTGTCCGAAGCATGCTGCTACCCACACCCAAAAACAAAACTTCAAGTCATTTCATTACTTACTTAGTCCAGCTAGCTAGTGCCCCCAGTAAAACTTTGGTAATAATCTCAAAATCTAGTTGAAAGGCAACTTTAAAAATGAGATTTTTAGCTAGGGTTGACAACAAGATCTGGGAGTTTTTTAAGAGAAGATCTAAAGAACCCAGAAAGTTATAGGATGAATCCCTCTCTCAAGTACATATATCCAATGGATAAATTAGATATATTGGGGTCAATTCAACCAAAATTGGAATCCCTAAGGGGTTACTAAAATAATCCCCTAAGAGCTCTCTGAATCTGACACCCAAAATTGAGTGATTTGATCGAATTGGACGACACCAAATCAAAAAGGTGGAAACTTAAAAGCCTCTGAAGAGAAGAAACCCTAATTAATTCACTTACCAGAGCAATAAAACCTAAACTCCAATATCAGATCCAAGGTTGTTCTTAGCTAAAACTAAAAAAAATTACAAGTAGATATAATTCCTAAGGAAAGGCAAACAAATAATAAGCTAAATGGGATTATGCAAACACACAAAAAAAAACTTTGATGTAAGGGATAGAAATAGAAAGAAAACAGAAGTGGAAAACATCAGAAAATACACAAAAAAAAAAAAAACATGAAGAAGAAAAAAGAAACAATCTCTAAAAAATGATACATAATTGGGTATCCCAAAAAAACTAAAAGATTGCCTCTTTGCTTGTGTTTTAAAAGGATGATAGAACAGGTACGTACGACACAACAACACATCAGAGAGACCCATACAATATTATAGACAAGGGAAACACACTTTTGTGTTTATCTATTTTGTGTGTGTTATATACAAAAAGAGAGAGAGAGATACCTCGAACTACTGCAAAACTCGTACAGCTTGCCTCTATTAGAGAAGATGATGAGAGCAACCTCTGCATCACATAGAACTGAAAGCTCGTATGCTTTCTTCAAAAGACCATTCCTTCTCTTTGCAAACGTCACTTGCCTATTGATCTTGTTCTCTATCCTCTTCA